CTTTGTGTCCAACTCCGCAGCAGGAACTTTGACTGTCAGTGTTGGTCCAGATTCAATGGCGGATATCACTAATGCAATTCTGAATGGGTTGGAGGTCATGAAGATCAGCAATGAGTTGGGGAGCTTGGATGGGTCTCTATCAGTGGGGAATATCCTTCCTAGTTCACCCTCGAAGAAGAATAATATAGGAATCATAGTTGGTTGTGCTGTAGGAGCTGTATCTGTTATGGCAATTATTGGTCTCTTTTATTGCTGCTTGGCATTCGGCAAGTCAAAGAGTACTAACCAAGGGACATGGCTGCCTTTGCCTTTGTATGGAAATTCTCAGACCATGACGAAAATGTCCACAACTTCACAAAAGAGTAACACAGCAAGCTGCATTTCATTAGCTTCCTCCAATCTTGGCCGCTTCTTCATGTTCCAGGAAATTCTGGATGCAACCAACAAGTTTGATGAGAGCCTACTTCTTGGAGTTGGTGGTTTTGGTAGGGTTTACCAGGGAACACTTGAAGACGGGACAAAAGTAGCTGTTAAAAGGGGAAACCCAAGATCTGAACAAGGTCTTGCTGAATTCCGAACTGAAATTGAAATGTTATCTAAGCTCCGCCATCGCCACCTTGTGTCTCTGATTGGCTATTGTGATGAAAGGTCAGAAATGATTCTGGTCTATGAGTACATGGCCAATGGACCCCTCAGGAGCCATTTGTATGGAACAGATCTCCCAACCCTATCATGGAAGCTACGGCTCGAAATCTGCATTGGGGCTGCAAAGGGGCTCCATTATCTCCACACTGGTGCAGCTCAAAGCATAATTCACCGAGATGTGAAGACAACCAATATTCTCTTGGATGAGAACTTTGTAGCCAAAGTTGCTGATTTTGGCCTCTCAAAAACAGGTCCAGCTCTAGATCAGACCCATGTGAGTACAGCAGTTAAGGGTAGTTTTGGTTACCTTGATCCTGAATACTTTAGAAGGCAACAGCTCACGGAAAAATCAGATGTGTATTCATTTGGGGTAGTTCTAATGGAAGTTCTGTGCACAAGACCTGCTTTGAATCCTGTTCTTCCCAGGGAGCAGGTCAACATAGCAGAATGGGCGATGACCTGGCAAAAGAAGGGCATGCTAGACCAAATCATGGACCCAAATCTAGTAGGGAAGGTAAATCCATCTTCTCTTAAGAAGTTTGGGGAGACAGCTGAGAAGTGCCTTGCTGAGTATGGTGTTGACAGGCCATCAATGGGAGATGTCTTGTGGAATCTTGAATATGCTCTTCAGCTTGAGGAAACGTCATCTGCACTCATGGAACCTGAAGATAACAGCACAAACCACATACCTGGTATCCAATTAACCCCACTTGAGCCATTTGATAACAGTGTGAGCATGATTGATGGGGGGCACTCTTGCACAGATGACGATGCAGAAGATGCTGCCACAAGTGCTGTGTTTTCTCAGCTTGTTAATCCTCGCGGAAGATGAGAAGACAGATCATTTGCCTGTCTGAGTCTTGGCCTCTAATGTCCCATTAAAAGATACTAGTCATCTTGGCCTTGAGAGTGCTCAGTGAGAGAACAAGGTTCTTTCTTAGTTCATTATTCTAGTTGTTGCCTCAATTTTCTGTCCACGATTTATTTTGTAATATAGTTTTGGTGGGTGCCAATTAATCCATCAGCAGGTAAGGTGCCAAAGGATTTTATTCTTGTCTTCATATATAAATCCATCTGGGTTTCAGAGCTTCCCATGTTTTTACAAAAGTAAATGATGTCATTGTATTCACATATTTTATTGTTCATAAGATATAGAGAATAAGCAGAGTATGTGACCTCTGTATGCTTACAAGTTCCAGAACTCGTTATTATTTCCTTCATACAAAATTTATGATATTATATTAAACTATTTTCACATTATTATTACCAGAATCTTGTTCCTGGGGGAAACACTAAAAATATCCTGAAGGATTATCTAAGAAATGGCTACAAATTTGGCGTGCTCTCAGATAACTACTAGGAAACAATTTCTTCTAGTTATGTAATAGACGAAAATTTCTTTGTCGGCTAGCTGAGCAGATCTAAGAAGGGAAGAGAACAATTTGAAATTGTTTTTAGGTCTTGATATGTAGGACTTCGTAGATAGTGGTATGAAGAAAGCAATTATAGGTCATATTAAGTGCTGAAAAGTTGCCACACCCACAGGTAATGCTTCTGTCTTTCTCAGCATATATTTAGGCCTGCCTGACTTCATTCCTTGACACTTGAGTTCCTAAAGAATCAAATGCCTCTTTGCCTGAGACCTCCAGCTAGTTGATGCACCGGTGGTCCACGAGCACTATAACTCCTCAACCATGAAGTACCTTTTCCTCTAGACTTTGAGTTTTTGGCAAAGACAATTAGAGTGCTGTAAGAGCAGCCTTGGGTAGAAAGTTAAACTGTACCACTTTAGGAACTATGAACAGTATTCACTTGCATAACCAGGCCTGTATACTATATTGCCTTTGTTTCCTCTGTTTTCTCATAAACCAAATGAGTGGTTGAAAGAAAGGTTTCTGAATTGTCTTGAAATGGAGTTTCCAATTTTGGTAGGCTTTTGGTTTCTCTTAACATCTTAAGAGCTGATACTTCTCCTAACCCTTATTTATATTTATTTATTATTGTTCCTCTCCGTTCCCAAAACTCAAGTTATAGACCGGATCTCCCAAAACCACAGTATTCTTCTCTGGCATTTAAAATTTTACATGTCATATATCTCCATTGTTGAATCCCAATTATCATACATGAGTTTACAAGTGAGTTATCATTCTTTCTTAAGGTATTTCCTATGCTGATAGAAAGCATGAAACTTAAATTTCTTCTCAACTGCACACTTTCATTTATTTGGGGAATGCAAAAATTTAACATAAAAGGCTCAGCCAAACTTGCTGAACAAACGAATTGTAGAAATTAACAGTACACACGAGAAATTTAAATCTTGACTATTATATGAAATCATCAATAAGCACCTCTTGACCACACAACTTTAATTATCATCTGAGAAGTTGAAACCTTCACTTATTCCTTGAGAATGGGACAATAGCAGTTATTTCCTACAAGCTATTCCATTCCCACCGAAGGAATTACCAGTACAATCGAGCTTTCCGTAATCCATCACCCTTGAATCTGTTTGGTACAGCTTCCCGGATTGAGTGAACACACAAGCAATGCAATCTGCAGAGACAAGTGATGTTGTTCTGTACTTTTGTTCACCTCCCACCACTGGCATAGCTACTCCAGGCTTTGCTGGGTTCTTGAAATCTGGCTGGTAAGTCCTTCCAAGCACTCCTTCAACATTTGAGGATAGGCCATAGAATCTGAACTGTACTTCCAGGTGAGCAAAACAGTCATCTGATGGTATCTGATAATTGTGGATCCTGTCATCTTCCTTTGTCACAGGCACCACATTTACTGAAATCTCAGCAACTTCTGGGAGAGTGATTAAGACACTGTTCTTGCTTGATGTTCGCTCCACTCTAATGGCATTACCTGGAGATTGCCACACAGAGAGATGGGATTCTGGGATGACTAGCTCCTCTCCATTGTAAGTGAATTTCAAGAGGTCAATTTCATCATCCCATACTGATGCTTTGGTGGCCTCAAGGGAGAAGCTGTTAGAGTCAAAAAGGAGTCCGAGGGCCTGAATCCAAGTATAGTCCCTGGTTCGTCCTTCAGGGCGGAGACCAATGAACCGGGCATTGATATGGAGGTTGGGATCAGAAACTAAGGTGAAGTACTCATTTTTCTTGCCGTGGAAGTAAAAGACAATGCCATCTCCACCAATGAAGCGAGGGTCCATGCATGCTGATCCAGGGCCATCGCAATTAGGCTTGCGCTCTATGATTATCACCAACAACAACAACAACAAAAAAAACCCCTTGTCAGCAATGATTTTAGCCCAGGTTTGTTGAATTTAATACATTCCGAAACAAAAAAGAAAACAAAGAGTGAGATCACATTATAAAGACACAACAGTAGGAGTAACTTACTTTTGCACTCAGCTTTGCATATGGGCGAGTCACAGTTGAGGTAGCAAATTTTAGCGTTCTTGTCTGTTGGTGAAGCCAATGGACATTCCTTTGGGCAGGGTATCTGCTTGAGAAAGCAAGGGCTTTTCCGGCCATAGCAAACTTTGATATCTGAAGTTCCCTTACTCTGTGCTAGAACAGCAGCAGATACAAAGAGTAGCACAATGATCAGTGTCTTTTTGTTGCCTGAGAAATCCATGGCTTCTCTTTTTCCCTCTTCAATGGAATGAAATGATGATATATATATATACCTCACACCCCTTTAAACTAATCTAACAAGTGGGTTTTATGGCATTATCTTTTTCGAATGTACACATTCCAAGTTTGGTAAGAGGAAGAACATGGGCTCTACGATGCTTTGCGGGATGGTTAATCTTGGTCAATGCTTTGGGGCTGGTGATAGTGATTGAAGAAATAGCTCTTGTTGACAATTTGATGATTTTATTTATTTATATTTTTCTCTTTGTTTTTGCTTCGGATCTGATTCAGAATATGAGTTTGCTGCTGATTTGACAATATCAATACCATATTTTGCACCCGATAAAATGGCTCTGTATGCCTGCATTGTCTGCTGTTACTTTATTTTTTTCTTTCTTAATTGCTTGTGCTTTCTGTTGTAACTTGTACGGTATAAACAGAAACTAGAATTATATATTCTCACCCTTCTCGCAACTTGCCCAATTGGCCCATTATTATTGTACACTATAATATCATTTGGTCAGGAAATCAATCAAAAGAAATGCATTCATTCAATGAACATTTCTTATGGGTTTGGACCAAATTTGGGCATAAGCTGAATCTGGTAAGCCAACAGATAATTTTACGTACTTTTTTCTTCCTTTCTACTTTCTAGGTCAAAAGTTAAGGTATTTTAGTCTTGGTCACACAAGTGCACCCGGATTCGATTCTCGTAGGAGACAATCTTGAGGTAATCCAATATAATACTTCCTCCTCCCTCTCCCTAGCGAATGACAAAAAATCAAAAGAAGGTATTTTAGTCCTGGCCAATATGGGACAAGTGCTTAGCATTGTTTGGATGTTCACCGAAGTTTTAGAGGGTTTGAAGCTGTTTTTGCGTGTGCAATAACACCAACTTTTGTGAGTTGACATTTTCTTGAAAATTGAAATGGCATACAATAAGAACATTTTGCACCCTTAATCTTCCTTGTTTTGATGGAAAGAACTACAACTGGTAAAATTGCAGGCAAGATATCTAAATTTGACACAACCAGAATCAGAATAAAAGACTCTAAAACAGGACAATATTATTTTGATGGTATTGCCGTGGTTGCTAAGTAAATGAGAGCAAATGGAGAACAAGTCGTTGGTTAGAGACTCGTTGACAAATTCTTAGAAGTATAACTAGGAAAATTTGAACATATTCTTAGGCTAGTACATGAGTTGTTTAAAAGGAGAGAGCTTTCGAGAGAAGCAAACAAAGCTCATTAGTATTAGAGATCTTATATATAGGTTGTGTACAATTAACTTAATTAACCATGATTAGAGTAATATTTACAACTAAGTGACTTGCTGCCTAACTAATGCGAAGTTGCCTAACCACAGTCAGTGTTCTTGAATTGGTGAGCTGGACTCCTAGATTGGTGACTTTGAGTACAAGTAAAGATCTGATTGGACTGCTGTATTGTATCACTCTTGAGAAACATTTTCTTGCAACTCAATTTTTAAAAGGGTAAGTTCCACCCATGAGTTCCTATCATGATACCAAAGCAGATTTCACTAGGAAACTGAGGTTGAGTTCATGGAAGGGCGGGTTATAGGTTGGATTAAAATGAACGTTAGTTTTATGTGTGGTCATATTGTCGAGTCATTAAAGGTGGTAGATTAATGAAAGCCGCCTCAAAGGAACGAAAGAGATACCATTGAGTTATCGAGCTAATTAATGTCGCTAGAGTGAGGTGACTACTGGCGCGTCACTACTAAAAAAAGGGACACCAACCCAAGTAAATTTTTTTGAGTGTTGACAATAAAATTATACTATAGATGCTTATTTAGTTACATCAACATAAATTCGCACAAAAAGAATATCATGCTATTTTTAGAAACACAGTAACATGTAAGCTGGAGTATATCCACAACCAGATTGGTCATACTTATACAACAATTGGAGATATGCAGTATTAGATAAAAACCATGTTGCTTGTGCTCACAGAGATTTTGTTTGGGGTGTCTAAAGTCTGAATTTTATTGTGTAAGCAAACGAATCATATTTACCTAATGAATATTTGGTCTGTCCCTTCTCTTGTATTTGTACTACTATATATCAACAACTAGATTAATCATATTTGTATGGCAATTGGATTAATGTTGGCATGATCCACGGCTGGTATATGATGGACAAATATGATGAAATGCTAGGGTCCTAATATCACGCATTCAACCATTAGTGAGCATCTTGGACTAGCAAGTGAGCTTTTGGGCACCTCTCCCTTCAGGAGAAAGTTCTATCCTCTACAGCCTATGAGCTTAACTAGATTGAAACTATTTGATTCAAACTTTTTTTCTTTGATACAAACGATATTGGGGGAAGAGGAATTCAAATTGATCAGGACCTCGGTCCAGTGATAAATGCTCTTTATAATAACTTTCGTAAAGCAACTATAGAAAAAAGAAAAAGAAAACAAAGGGGTCATGTCAAATGTCACAATTGCTAGAAGTTTGGTCATTATGCATTATTATTATGTGACATATGGATTTCAAAATTTTCTTCATGGATTTCTCTGCAAGAATAAACTTCTGTAGCACGGTAATTGCATCAGAGCTTTTGGTTTTAGCATCTGAGTGGTACAATAATTACAATATCATAGCATTTTTCTGGTCTAACAATATCATAATCTTTGCCTCCAAATGTTTAATATTAGTGAAACCAATAGGATTAGGGGGGACCATTTTCGTCACCATGTAGTTTGGTATGAACTCAATGTCACACACTGGACTTATTGAACAACAGATGTTGGATTTAGTGGATAAAAGATGCTCCTGAACTTTTATAAATACTACTAATCTCACTCACCATGTACATAAAATCCCAGTTATATTTTCCAAAGCTCCATACCTGAAAGATTTTCGAGGTTCGGAGAGCTAGCCATGGCTGTCAAAGAGAAAAAGGATCAAAAAACAGTTGGTGTTGGAGTTGAAGCCCTGTGGAGAGCTATGGCCAAGGATACAGTTACTGTTATACCAAAGATAATGCCTAGTATCGTGCGCAGTATTGAAGTGATTGAGGGAGATGGTGGCCTTGGTTCTGTTTTGCTCCTCAATCTGGGCGATCGTGAGTACCGAAATTTTCTTTCTGCAATTGAAAGGTGGAATTTGATTAAATCAAGGATAGAATATCTCAGTTTTAGTTCGTGGAAAGAACTTATATTTCTACTAGCCCCTTAGCACATGCGTGAATGTGCCAACTGGTTTTATTTTATTTATTATATATTTATTATAATATTTAAAAAAAAAAAAAGAATTAAGAAAAGATAACATGGGAGTTATGTTCCATAAAAGTAGGACATATTATCTGATTTTGTTTTTAATTTTAATTTTTTTAATATAAAAAAATGTGAATTTACCATATTACCCTCATTTAATTAATAATTTCAATTATTTATGTTTGAATTAACCAATGATATCTTTTGGTATTTTGAATGTTTCACCATTCTCTGTCTTTTGCTTTATATATATAGATATAGAAAATTTTAAGATAAATTTATAATAAAACTCATTTCTTGCATTGAATGTATATATAAACACTGAAATTTATAAATTGAAGAAACAAACCCAAAAAAAGTCAACTTTAATTTTGTTTAAAATTTGAATTATGTGTGAAATACTATTATTATCCTCACATTATGATTTTTAGAAGAAAAAAAAAATAGTGATGTCATTGTTGTAAATTTTAGGTTTTTCAAAGCTTGTATGATATATGTAGTCGGTTTGAAAAGCTAAATGGGTTTATTGATGTTTCTACTCACATATATCACAGCCCTTGATGGGTTGGGAGAGAGAGAGAGATGGTAGCCGGTATGGCAGCTTGTGTGTGGTGCTAGGGTATGGGCTGTCAATGGATCAGAATTTGATCCGGATTCGATATAATTAATAGGACATGGATTTTTTTTTTGGGGGGGGGGGAAGAGAGAGAGAGATGGTAGCTGGTATGGCAGCTTGTGTAGTGTTGGTATCGGCTGTCAAGAGATCATATTTTGATCCGGATCCGATATAATTAATAGGAAATAGATTTAGTGGCATAATTCGATAACATGATTATGTTCCGAATCCGTTCATAAATACAGTGAACTTTTGTAAATAAATAAAACTATTTTAAACTATTTGCATGTATGACATAAAAGAATTTGGACCGGGTTATCGGATAATTCAACAAATCAGATATAGATCTAGTTGTGAATGATCTGTTAGATTTTTGGATCTGATCGAGTTAAATTATTTTGAAATCGGATCTAATCGAATTTTATGTGCTCCGCTCCATCTCTGACCCGTTTACATGTCTAATATGGGTGGCGGGGGACAAGGGCGGGGAGGGGAAGTTATCTTGTGAACCTCATTTTTTAATTTTTAATTGGATTTTCAGATTTTTTAAAAGTTACTAGTTTTTTATTATTTTTTATTATTAGGATGGTCTAAATGTTGCGAAATGCAGGTACATGCACAACCTCTAAATGTAGAGGCTCGGGATCCAACAAGTTGTTACATGTTTTTAAACAATAAGATGATGTTAATAGAAGTTTCTTCTTCTTTTCTTTTTTCTGAAACAAAAATGCCAGATCATGTAGAGTCCAAGAGAAAACAGACAGAAAAGATTGTGGAACTTGACGACTCTGAGTATCGATTTGCACTGAAAGTATTGGAAGGGCCGGCGCTAACACTGCGCAATTTTTCTGCATTGACAACTTCTTTCCAACTAAGCAAAATCGGAGAGCAGGAGACCTTGGTTGATATGAAAGTGGTGTATGAGACTGAAAAGGAGGAAGCTAATACCGGAGATATAGCATTGCAGCCTGCGATTTCTTACATTCAGTTCCTGGAGAAATATGTACTGGAATCATAGTGGGAGAGCTTAGCATCATCCTAGTACTGAAATGTGTTTGATCAGTTCAATCTAACTAGCTGAGTTAGGTTCATCTTGTCAGATTAAATAAGAGTGGACTTACCTTGAGCTAGCAAATAAGGTTTTTATTGTGAATAAATGGTAGCAGATACAAAGTTGCTGCTGGTATCAGAAATTTGGCATCTCCTTGATTTGGATGATGCAGTGTTGTGGGCAGTAGCAGTTTCATGAATTGTTGTGTTGTGCAGCCTCCCTACTTTCTTTTTATTGAATGAGACTTCTTTTGGTTGATAAGAGTACTATTCAAATAGATTCATTGTACTCATGGTCTAAAATATCGATGAGATTAGAAATATCGGTGGTCCAAAAACATGGAAATTTCAATGGAAATATCGGGATATTATCGATATCGATAAAAATTGAATAAAAACCACGAAAATTGTAAGAAAAACTTGGAAATTTTTATTGAAACTTTGGAGAATGGTTATTAGTCAATTATCTATTAGTTTATTAAAAAAAAATTAGAAGGAAATGCATTACATGATGGATTTAACTGATTTAAGTTGATTATACAGCGAGCTGGCAAACACTGTGAGTGTAGAAAATATGTAGAAATTAATGAAAAAAAGATTAAACACACCATAATCATTTATATATAATGATTTACTACAATATTTTACACTTTATACATTACATGGTAAGATACATGAGTGGCTTAGTACTACATAGAGTTCCTAGTTTAAATGTTTCACTATCTTCATCATCTTTATGTGTAGAGTAAGTGTATTGTGAAGAGTATTCATCAAATGATAAATCCCCAAAATAGTTTTGCATGTAATTGTTAACATGCCACCCATATAAATATAAATATTTTACCATATTATTACTAAAAGATAAGTGATATATGGTGGTTAAGGTGTTGGAGGAGTAAAATGGGAAAGGTTCAAATTAATTATCGACATCGATATTTTCCGATATTATCATTGATATGTACATGGATATGTTCTGAAATATTCGTGATTCAAAAAAACTGAAATATCCTCGATATTTCATCCATATTATCGATATTTCAGACTATGATTGTACTTGATCATTAATATTAAATTTATAATGTTACATTGTGTTTAGTCATTTCAAATCCAATACCAATACTTTGTATGTGATATTTTTATGATACTTCCAACCCATACAAGCTTATAGTCAAAATCCGAATTCATAATTTACCTTCAAATTAAGAAACCAACATAACATAACATATATAGTCTATCTTGTTATGGATATTATTAAATGTGTGCAATAAGATTCAGGGAAATTATGGTAGTTAGAAAGGAGTTATAGAAAAGTTATTTTCCAAAGTGATTCTCTCCATATCATTTAAGCTTTTCGACTGGCTAAGGTCACTGAGTTTTGCCCATGTGTGTCACATTTTTATTTGGATGACTCTCTTTACGGTGCGTTTGGATGAGAAAATTTAAAAGTAATAAGGAATTAATAAATGATGAAATTTAAAATGACTGAAATTATAATGTTCTAAAATTTGTGAAGTTTCTTGTTTAGCTATGGTTTAAACACGAAATTTAATGTTTATCATCTAGGAATTTTAGAAATGACAATTATTTAGATATAATTTATAGATTTCTTTGTGTTTTTTTAATTCATACACGAGAATTGGTTTATGTCAATTTAGAAAATCTGATTTTTGTTAAAATCTCAAGTTTATTTCCCTCATCCAAACACACCAAACAGTCTATCCTTTGTACTATGTATTCCTCTTGATCTAATAAAATTCTATCGCATTTTTATAAAAAGAAGAAAAAAGGAGAATTACCTAACTTTCATATACTTTATAAGGAATGCCATATGTAAATGAGCATCTGTCCTTACAGAAACTAACCAATTGTGAAAGAAAACGGCATCTCGCATGCCAGTTTGTCATCATACGCAAAAGATGCTGCGTTTCCACTTGAAAATCATTTGTATATTTATGGCCTCGGTTATATCAGTCGATTATCTCTCTCTTTCTCTCAAAAACTACATTTGAGAGCCATGGTTAAGGAAATTAAAACTGAAGCAAAAGTAAGTGTTGGGATTGAAGCCTTGTGGAAAGCTTTGGCAAAAGATGTGGTATTTGTGACACCAAAAGTCATCCCAAATTTGGTCAAGAATGCCGAAGTGACAGAAGGAGATGGTGGCATTGGCACAGTCTTCCTCTTCAATTTTGGCTCCGGTAAGTCCCCAACTCTTTTTGACACTTTAAAATTTCAATATTTGAATATGAACTTCTCTGCCAACAGGGTCTAGCCCATGGTCTCGGGTTCAAGAAAATCCCCCTCCCCCTTTTCCAACTTTGGCAACAAAAATAAAAAGCTTCTTCCTCCACCATATGACATGCAAAAATGAATTTTATGTTTTCCTTTTCTTTTGTGAACAATGTTGTTCAGATGTACCAAAGATGAGTTATCAGAAGGAAAAGATTGTGGAGCTTGATGAGGCTGTGCATAAAATTGGGCTGCAGGTCATAGAAGGAGGACACTTGAACTTTGGGTTTTCTTCATACAAAACAACCTTCCAACTCACTCCAATTCAGGAAGAGGAGACCATGGTCAGTGTTGAGGTCACATATGAGTCTGAAGTTGAAGATAGTAGCATGCCATCAAAGACAGCAAAGTCTGTTTTAGCTTTCATAAGGAGCTTAGAATGTTATTTGTTGAATGGTGCTATCTAGGATTCTGACATTGTTTTTGTTTGAATGCACCATGAGATGAGTCCTAGTCAACTCAAAATGGGCTTTGACTGTTTCTGTTCTACATTTTGATGAGCAAATTTGGGCCATTTTATTGAGGTGGAGAAGCCCCTAGTTATATGCTTGCTAGTGTAATCATCTTATAATGGACAAGCACAAGTGGTAGAAGGAAAGAGTAGGAAGCTTATATTGAATTCCAGGCCGGAAAATTAAAGTCTTGCGTAATACGATACACATTGCCAATTAATTTTGGATTAGATGATGCAATTCTATTAAAAAAAAAAACACATTGAGAAAGATCAAACTTCTAATCAAGTGTACAATGTTAGTAAACATGGAACAAATCGCTTTCTATCCTCACAGTAATCAGTTATTGGTGAAAGCAAAAGGCATCTATCATGCCACCAACAGTGTCCTTGTGTGCAAAAGATGCTTTCTTTCCACTAATCAAAATACTATCTGCATATCTATGACCTGGTTTTATCAGTCCAAAGTTCTCATCCCTTTCTCAAAAGTTACATTTGGGAGCCATGATTAAGGAAATTTTAAGGGACACAATAACACTGTTCCTGCTTGATATTCTCTCAACTTTAACATCTTTTTCTGGAAAGTACCAAGTGGAGAGATAGGCTTCTTCTAAAACTACATCGTTTCCATTGTAGGTGGTCAATTTGGTTGTCCCAAGTACCCACTTTGGTGGCTTCTACAGAGAAACTGTGAGAGCTGAAAAGCATTCCCAGGGCTTGAATCCAAGTGTAGTCGCGGGTTCGATCCGCTGGCCTGTGGCCACTGAAGCGACCATTGATCTGGAGGTTTCTGTCTGAGACTAAGCTGAACTGTTGGTTGTTCTTGCCATGGAAATAGAAAACAATGCCATCACCACCAATGAAGCGGGGATCATAGCATACTGATCCAGGGCTATTGCAGTTTAGCTTACGGTCCAAAATATCGAACACTTCATTAAGTTTGTATTCATTAACAGAAAGAATTATCAAAGAGCATGATTTCCATGGATTCACACCCAGTCCTAGATGAAACTATAGGGTAGATAAAAATACAAAAAATGTCTCTTTCATTTTAAAACAAAATGCCAAATAAGGCGTCTCTGTATATAAAACAAACTCATTTCTGAGTAACGTTCTTTTGCCATATATCTTGGACTACATATTAAAGGGTAAAAAAAAAAGGCTACTTCATAACTAATGATCTGAATTGATAATCTAATGATATAACATGTCAAACTGTGTGACAAGAGAACATGTAAGAGAAAGAGGCATTCTTGTGATAAGTATATAAATTTTGAGTACACTAACACAAACAAAATGAACAAAATGATATGAAGGAAAAAATGAGATCTTATGTTTGCATTGGGCCTTGCAAATAGGTGAATCACAGTCAACATAGCATCGGCTTGCTGGGTTGGTACTGTGGAGAGAAGTGTATGCTTTAGCTTGAAATGCTGCACCTGCAACAAATACAAATACTAGGACAATGATTAATGTGGAACTGCTTCTTAAGACATCTAAAGTTCTTAATAGGTTAGAAGAATTCCAAACAAGGCCTTATGAAGCAGCTGATAGATGTAGCTACTTAACTGGTTTTTCCCTTGATATTTATAAGTTTTTTCTTCTGTATTTAATTCTGCTTTACAGTTTCGATGCTTATTTTCGAAGCTTGGGGTAGAATCAAATCTCTGTAACTGGAATTAGAAGTATGAACATGGGCTTTGCTGGTTAGTTTCCTATTTTGACGATACGTGCAACATGTTCACATATATAGAAGAGGGATATGCCTTCAAAATACAAATTTGATCACCTCCTGGTTTGCTTGCAGATGATGAAGGATTGGACTTTTGGAATTAAAATTAGCCATGAGTATCTGCATGTACATACAGAAGGTATTGCCTCCCCGTTAGTTCTTCGATTGTGCCTGAGCCTTGTTTTTCTTGGGAAGTAGCAATTTAATTAGACAATCCTCAAAATAACTGAGTTGTACAGTAATATTCTCTTGAAGAGCTATACACGTGGTCTACATATCCTTCTTACGGTTATCCTAGATGATGATTTGTTCCTCCATTGCAATCTTTCCGCATAATGCAGCTAGGTGGATTCGTAGGAATGAATTGGCTAAGTAAAGGGTTCGGAAGTCCGAGAAAGAGGTGAAGTGAGTGTGTTAAAGTGGCGTGTAATAAGTCAACGGGGTCTAAACTAGTGGAAAAAAGTCTTGACTTGTAGATCAATGGTCTCAAGTTTGAATCCTCATGACACATTTGTCGTGTGTGTGAATAACTCCTCTCTCCTTATAGTTTAGACTTTGACTTTGACTTGTATGAAAAACAAATGGTAGCACGTAATAATATACTTTGATTGTCTAGGAAATTGATATTTTCCTATAAAAATAACTTCCTTAGTTCATTGTAGTAATTTTAAAAATAGATTTGTAGACGTGAGTTAAGCCAGTTGGTTAAGGAAGTGTGTGCTCCTTGCACTCATAGTTATATTCTCTTTTTCGTACAATAGAGTAGTTTAAAATACCGCTTTGTTAAAATCAAAGATCATTGCCATTTTATTTGGAAAAAAATTAATAGATGTCGAGAATCGAGAGATAGAAATTTGGTGTCAACAAAATTCCTTAAGAAAAAAGTGAGAAAAATTTACTTTCAGGAGCTCTCTTGGTAGGCCACTTCAGGCCCTAAACACCTCGTTAGCGGAGCTTTACTTTTTTGACATTTCGGGGTACTGCTCGTCCAAGGCCCACCACCATCCCTTCATTTCCCTCCAATCCCATTCAGTTAACTCGTATCCAGACCTTTCGTGCTCGCACCAGAAAAACCCTAACTCCTACTGAAAATTACCCGCTTGCGATTCAACTCCGTCCAACCAGGTGAGTCGCCCTTCACTCCCAATCCTGCAAGAGCCTTTTGCTCAAACTTCTTGTGTATATTACACACGCTGTCCACTCAAATTCTGACTGCAAAATCGGAAATTAGGCCACAAATTTAGATTTAGTTTAATTTCTGCTGTCACTCTGAGTGATGGAAACTGTGAGTTTCTTGGGGTAAATTACAGATTGGAGTTAGAAATAACATGGGTTTTGTGGCAAGTGTTGATATATGTGAATTTGATGTTCAATTTGTGTGTAAAGATGATCAAAGTCTCAATGATTGATACGAGAATCCGTAAAAGTATTGATAATGGGTTGTGACGTAATTGTTAGAGATGATATACCCGTTTGATATTTTGCTTAAGATGATATACGGGTGGCGTTCAAGAAATGCGGGATTGTGTTCTTGATTTGTTTCTGAGCTGACTTATTGATTTGGGTTAAGAAGCTGTCACTGAGAGAACACGGTATAGGGTAATGGAGACACCAGGTGCAGCTGGTTCTGTTACTAAGCGGTCTCTAAGGAAGAAAGCGGGTTTGCGAAATTATGATGAGAATTTGATGGATGATTTCATAGAGAAGCATTTGGGTGGTACTTTGAAGAAAAGGAATAGAACCAAGGAGGATTTGGAGAAAGAGACCGAAATTGAGGCCATGATAGCATTGTCCCTGGGATTCCCCATTGATGAGCTGCTTGAGGAGGAAAAGAAAGCTGGGGTGGTCAGTGAGTTGGGCGGGAAGCAGCAGAATGATTATATTGTTGTGAGGAATCATATTTTAGCAAGGTGGAGGGGTAATGTGCAAGTGTGGCTTTCAAAAGGACAGATTAAAGAAACTGTGAGTGGTGATTATGAGCATTTGATATCTTCAGCTTACGACTTTCTTTTGTATAATGGATACATTAATTTTGGGGTTGCACCATCATTTGTGGCTAGTATGCCAGAGGAGGCAACCGAAGGGTCTGTCATTATTGTTGGTGCGGGACTTGCTGGGCTAGCGGCTGCAAGGCAGCTTCTGTCATTGGGTTTCAAGGTGGCTGTTTTAGAAGGTAGGAATCGACCTGGTGGAAGAGTTTACACCCAAAAGATGGGGCGGGATGACAAATTTTCTGCAGTGGATCTTGGCGGCAGTGTCATTACTGGCATCCATGCTAATCCTCTTGGAGTTCTGGCCAGGCAACTTTCCATTCCGCTTCATAAGGTCAGAGATAAGTGTCCTCTGTACAAGCCTGATGGGACACCTGTTGATAAGGACATTGATTCTAAGATTGAAGTCATCTTTAATAAGTTGCTTGACAAAGTCATGGAACTCAGACAAACTATGGGTGGGTTTGGAAATGATGTATCTTTGGGTTCAGTTTTGGAGACACTGAGGCAGTTGTATGGTGTTGGTAGAAGTACTGAGGAGAGGCAACTTCTTGATTGGCATCTGGCAAATTTGGAATATGCAAATGCTGGATGTCTATCAAATCTCTCAGCTACTTATTGGGATCAGGATGATCCTTATGAGATGGGTGGGGACCACTGCTTTCTTGCTGGAGGTAATTGGAGATTGATAAAAGCATTGTGTGAAGGGGTTCCCATATTCTATGGAAAGACTGTCAATACCATTACTTATGGAGATGAAGGGGTTGAAGTTATTGCTGGGGACCAAGTGTTTCGAGGGGATATGGTCCTATGCACTGTTCCTCTTGGAGTTCTGAAAAAGGGGGCTATCAGATTTGAACCTCAGTTGCCCCCAAAAAAGATTGCAGCAATTGAAAGGTTGGGATTTGGGCTGCTGAACAAAGTAGCTATGGTTTTTCCTCATGTTTTCTGGGGAGAAGACCTGGATACTTTTGGATGTCTAAATGAGCATGGCCATAAACGTGGAGAGTTCTTTCTGTTCTATGGATACCATACTGTATCTGGAGGTCCGGTTCTCATTGCACTGGTGGCTGGAGAAGCTGCACAAACATTTGAAAGCACAGAGCCGACCATATTGCTCCATCGAGTTTTAAGCGTCCTCAGAGGTATGTATTATTTGTGGTTGCCTTCTTCTCATGTCTTTGTGTCTTGACGCTTGGGGTGACCTTAGAAAGCTTCCATCTGGGTCTAGTCTACCTTCTTGTCTTATAGATTTGTTTTATTTGTATTTCCTCCCTTCAGGTATATATACTCCTAAGGGGATTGATGTGCCTCGGCCGATACAAACCATATGTACAAGATGGGGTGGTGATCCCCTTTCCTATGGTTCATATTCTCATGTTAGAGTACAGTCCTCTGGCAATGACTACGATTTACTAGCAGAAAATGTTGGAAACCGGCTGTTCTTTGCAGGTGAGGCTACAAATAGGCAACATCCTGCTACTATGCATGGGGCCTTTCTGAGTGGCCTGAGAGAGGCTTCGTGCATATATCGCGCCACAAGACGTAACCAAAATAATCTGAGGAAAGTCATGCAAAAGAATGTTGGACCAAGCAATGATATGCTGGAAGATTTATTCAAGAGGCCCGATTTAGCATTTGGGAATTTTTCGTTTGTATTTGATCCTTCAACAGAAGATCCAAAATCAGTAGGGCTTATGAGAGTTAGTGTTGGGAGTAGTGAAGACAGTTATAAACAAGAGTTACCAAACAACTTCCAACATTCCTTAACCATACCCTTGCAGCTTTATACAGTCATATCTCGTGAGCAAGCATGTGGGTTAGAACTGGTGGCGGGAGGAGATGAAAATAGGTTATCATATTTGGTAAAAGATTTTGGCTTGAAGCTGATGGGACCTAGTGCCCTGGGAACTGTAGGTAACTCCTTGACAGTTAGCATTGCTAATGCTAGAAGAGGCAGGGGAAGGAATCGCACGTCTGCTGGACGCCAGTAGGTTGCTTACAGTTCCAAGGGACTAAACGTTGCCTTTATTTTAAGTTGCACACCTTTTGTATATCATCGAGCCATGTAGGTAATTCATTAGCTTCAAGAGAAATTGATCCCTTGGAGTTGAACTGGGAAAGCCCATTTTGTCTCTGTAGAACATGTCTGCGGCTGTGAAATTTTTGATTAGGTTGAAGACCTTGTACACGCATCCCACATCAATACAGGGAGCAAAATATCCATAGGCATTTGAAGTCAATCCAATCTTTTTGAATGCCATGTATACTCTATCTGTTCATAAACACTGCTGTAGAAGGTTCGTTGTACGTGTAGGCCGGTTGGCCTGACGATACGTTTCATCCTGTATATGCGTGTGTGTCGAAGCATTGATGAGCTTGAGAGGTTCACTCAACCCTCAAAATGATGATGGCAAAACATTTGTTGTAAATCATCTGACTTTGAGAGCCTGTAAGTAGCTTCATCAAAACTAAAATGGTAGTGAATGCTATTCTCACCCTTCAAACTTCAAGTACTTTCTATGCATCCGCTTATTTTCTTCACCTCTAAAAATAAAGTATTAAACGCAATATAGGAAAAACAAACTCAACAGCATGAATATAAGTATCAGAAAAAAGAAAAAACCATACCATTGGCATAAAAGGCCATCTTGTTCTGAAATCAAAGGAAATTTTTGAAGATCCAAAATTACTACTCGAATAAAATTCACAAAATCTCGAACAAGGAGGGATGAGATGAGATTGAGAGGGGCTCATGGTTGGGCATTCTGCATGAAATCAACACAGATGCGGCAGTCGCAGTCCAAGTAGCGGCATCTGAGGCACCCAAGACACACACAACATGTGCAACCCTTGCATGTTGATGTACGAGGACAACCCCTACAGCTTTTTCGACTTGCTCTTTCTTCTTCATCACCGCATTTTATTCTGAAACATGGAAAAACAAAGTCATTTAATTATAGTGCAATATAATGTCTAGAAATATTAACATATGTCCAACGGTGGAGTCACGTGCAGGACTATGGTGGTCATGCCATCCAACCTACGTGTGGTCCTTGTGAATTTAAAGACATTTCTATCATTTCATGAAAGAATTTGCAAAAGATTTATGTAATAGCCTACTAAGCTATTCAAACTCCGCCTCTGATTAAAGAAAGAAACATGAAAATAAATCAAAGAGTGTGCATATAAAACTGAAAGTGAAGATGAGGAGATAGAGGAACTCACTTGTCGCATGGATGATCAGAGCATTTCCACTTCTTATTCATGGAGGCATAATGGAAGGCTTTGCACTCTTGTTTCGTTCGCAGGCGAAACCTGCGTTCTTTCTTACACTTGGAGCAAAGTAGAAATTCATCCCTGTGAAAAGTCCCTCTACGCCGACTGCTTGAACCCAATTTGCCTTCATTGGAGGCATGCTTGTAATATCTCATCAGCCCTGATTTCCAAAGTGGGACTTTCTTGCCCTTGATTGTTACCCAAATATTGCTCTTCCACTTTCTAGGTCCCCCTTCTTTCTCCCTTGAATGCTTCTCGAATTCCTCTGGTGTCAATTTGCCAATTTCTTCTAACACCCCCACTGCATTAATTCGTATATAGCTTAATTAGCTCTCAGAGAATACACCAACAATGTAAACTTTATCAAGTTAGTCGTATGACATGCAGCCTCGTAAAACCATAAGTGTAGGAAATACAAATTAATTCGAGATTTCGAGATATTCGAAATAGAACATCCTGCAACCAAAGTTCTAATACCATGTTACAGAATAAAATTTGAAGGGCTTAGTGGGTTCATGGATGGATCCATGGCTTTAGAAAAGAGAACTTTATAAGTTTCCATGGCTTTAGAAAAAAGAACTTTATAAGTTTCCATGGCTTTAGGAAATAAGCTGATAAGCACAAGCAACACATTCAAAGGAAGAAAGTGCCAAGAAAAATAAAAAATAAAGTTAGCATAAATTAGAAAATAGCCATACCCTTTACATGAAAACTACAGAATTAAGTTGTATTTAGAGCAAGTAGTACCTTCCTCGCAGGTTGAAGGTGCAGAGCATTCACAATTTATTTGGAATTGGCCGGTGGAAGAAATCTTAAGCTTGCCGACTTGATCTCCATATTTCTTGCTTGTGCAACCACAAATCACTTCAACGTAATTTGGCCCTCGCACCAGCTCATGTATGTTCTCCAGTTGCTTAATATCTTCATCTCTGAACATTATTTCATTGCTCTCATCTTTAATCCCAATGTTGTGTCTGGCAGCTGATGATCGAGATCTCCTTGCACCTGTTACTCAAAAAAAAACAAAAAAAAAAACTAATTCAATGAAAAGAATTATAGATGCTCTGGATAATTTGTATAAAAATTAAACAACAAAAAACTCATTAGAAATAGCATGTAGATTTTTGTGCAATATTAATTAGCACCAGCATTTATTGGGAAACTTTTTATGGCAGGGTTTTGTGTTCAAAACCTTGTCAAATTGTAATGAAGCCGAAATGCACTCATCAAGGACATCTAAACAACCATGCAGAGGTAGAAAAACGTGGAGAAGAGAAGATGTATGAGTAAGAGAGAGAGAGAGAGAGAGATAGAGGTGGCTAAGGTGCATGTTGACAAATGTATGAGGGTTTGCTATATATGTAAGGCTTATTAGAATGGTTTCCACAAATGCTAATGATGGGAGATCAAGAGAGAGAGAGAGGTGCTAAGGTGCATATGTTGACAGATACTGCACCATGATCCCTTTGTTGGTTTTGGTTAATGGTACCTGAAAATCCACATCGCTATACACACATCCTTTTTCTATTAAAACCAAAACCCAAAAAAGAGAGAGAGAGAAAGAGAAAGGAAGAAGAAAGAAGAGAGAAACAAGTACCATATATATAGCATTATTTCAGGACTGTGAATATGGTGCATTGCAACAGGTGATAATAAATTGTAATACCATTCACATTCTCAACAGGTGAGTTAATATATAAAATAAAATATAAAACTTAAAATGAGCTTGCTTAATAATAACCAAATAAAGACCTGTTTGGATGTGCATAAAAGTTTTGAATAAAAACTTGAGTATTCTTGCATATATATATATATATATATATATATATATATCCAAGCTGAAGTGCTCCTAGTAAAAACATCCAAGGAAACATTTAAAAAATAAACAAATTTTTCCATCCAAACATTACAAAATTAAAGTGTGTTTTCACTAAACTTGAAGTGCTTTTACACTGTCAAGAACACTCCAAAACTGATCCTTAATTAATTATTGAAATCGCGCATAATCTTGAGTTTAAATATCATTAGATTATAATTGTTGAATCAAAGAAAGAAAAATATACTAAGTTATTATTTAACATATGTGATCTCAGATAGACACACATAATATTCGTCGAGGTAATCGACTCTCAAAACATTAAATGCTAGCTCGAATTTATTAGATCAAGAAATAGTATTATAGCAAATAATGCGAGATCATAAACTAAAAATATCAATTTAGCTGAAAAAATTATTTGATTATCCTAATATCTCATACCTAAGATGGGGCAAAATTAGGGTATGTGTATTGATCAATTATCGTAGTGAAAGAAACAGTTAATAAGTACTAGCTAGGTGTGTGGGAAAGCAAACAGGAAAATAATCACATCGCCCTGAAAAACAACTATAGATAATATAGATAAAAACATCACAACGAATTCTTACCCCCCCCCCCAAAAAAAAAAAAACAAAACTTGGTCTAGGCCAAAGGCATGCACTTTAAAACACGACCATGGATTAATAGATCATATGATTATACATGCATGAAATTTCATCTTCAACAATGATAGAGCACAAAAATTAAAACATGAAAACATGAATAGATCAGAGAGTTACCTCGAGCCATTTCAGCTGTTGTCTGGTCACTGTAAATCAGAGTTACCTCAGACCATCTTATCTATGATTCTCTCTAAGATTGTTTGGGTATAAAAAGCCTATGTAAAGCTGTTCTTTTCCGTCACTGTCGATGCTTGGCTTAGTGGTTGGTGCTCAAGAGCCAAAATACACAAATGGAGAGAAGAATTGAAGCCCTTGCACATGTATATAACAACAATTAATTTCATATCTATGAGATGACCAATATATGCTCTCATAGCCAGGATAGTACAACAAATTTACACACTTTTCTAAGTGTACATAAATGGACAAATGAAAAGAGGAATTACTTATATGTGTCGCACCATACGATACACGCTCTACGTGGACAAGTTATATATGTTAGATAAGTCTTAAGGAAATGAGAAATATTTTGAAAAAATGAAAATTAAATAACTCCCAATCATTTCTCATCACGTGTAATGTTTTTCATAATAGTTCATGTGCTTGAATACTCCTAATCAAAATTGAAATATAAGGTAAGTAGTATTACTTTTAACCTGGTCATCAAAACCCTAGCCTCCTTTCTTTTTCTCAAACTCTTTTGTTGTGTTCCAGGGAAGGGGGGAGGAGGCCACTCCTCCTCCTCTTCCCTCTCTCTTTTTTCCTTACCTCCCCACTTATTTTCTCATCTCCCATATACTAGATTCGGGGTTTTAATTATGGGGAGGTTACTTGTGTCTAGATCTGCTTGGATTTGTGGTTTCGCTGGTTGGTGTCTTAGTTGTAAGGTGAATGACTACAATCTCGGTGTGTTCTTTGTCTCTATGGTGGCGGTGACGTTTGTGGTGGCAATGGCAACAACGATAGTAGTGGCTCTTTAGTTTTTGGTTGTTTGTTTGAAGTTTTCTTATTTTGTAATAATTGCATCAACTCTTTGTGAGTTGGGTCCACTCCTGGTGAGTTGGATATTTGATTGTTTTTTGGTCTCTACTTGTATTTTGTACTTGTGAGAGTTAAAAGTTGTAGTTGTATAGGTAGATTTGGGCGATGTGATTCATGGCTGGTTTGTTCAGGCATGCGACTTTCATGACAAAATTTCTCTGGCCTTTTGTAGCCTGTATCTGGATTAACCCTATATGGTTACTATGTTTCCATATTTGTATTACCCCTTTGTGGGCATTTGTATTTACCTTTGTGGTTGATGGTCGTTGTGCCTAATTTATGAATACAATTATTGCTTCTCTCAAAAATAAAAAAATAAAAAATGGTCATCAATGCCAACAAAGAATATCAAACAATTTTTTTGTCATTGACCAACTTGGAAAACCAAAAGAACATATGGCATTGCCTAATATACTATGTTGGTTAAGACCTGTAGACTAGACTGACCAAGTGGGAAAAAAAAAACCTCTCTCGTAGTGCATATATAATTTTCATTTTGTTAATGCCACTCTGTAACAATATTTGTTACTGTTACTCAGTAACTTTGGACAAGCACAGACGTAAACATAAGATCTACACAAATGTCTTCTATTACATACTGCATGTGAGAGTTAAATGCACAAATCTCGAAGCTAAAAATAACAAGCACCTTGCAAAGCATGTGGAACCTACAAGTGAAGGTGAAAAGAAAGAAGAGTAATGAAGGTCTTCGTGTTTAGCCTACGAGATAGGTGCAACAATGCAGTTGAAACATTTACTTCTGAAGTAAATAAATACAATTCCACTCCTATATTCAGTGATATTCTCATACTTCGTTTATTTTACAATAACACCCAAAAAGTTTAAGCTTTTGTTTGTCATCCATAAGCCAAGGAGGGTCATCCTCCAGCCAAAAGAGAAAAGACATATCTCGCAAACTAAAACAAGCTTAGCATATGAGTCATCTTATTTCATTCCCTCGGAACATGCATAATAGAATGGTCATCGAAACTGCGAAATTCTATAATGAGGCCTCCATATATGGACTTTAAAAGCAGATCACACATCTCTGGAAATGTGTATTTGATAGTGAAAAAATTTGATAAGATCAAAATTCCAACGTCTAAAAATTAAGTTCTCATTTAAAGACCATATATATCAACCTTATTATAGAACGACTCCACCGAAACTATGCATAAACTCTCGCACATCATTTACAAGACCACCTTTCTCTAACAACCAAATTTGAAGTCCACAAGAAAGTAGCACTCATGGATTTTTTTTCATTAAAAAAAATTTGGTTGAAACTTATTTTAATCATTAGTTTTTCTCATAAGAAAAGTGTTAATATCATTATAGGTTTCATGTAAATAAAAAAAAAGGTTATATTACAACGGGATTTCTTACACACACCAAATGGAGATGCGAACCTGAAACTTTGGTGTGCAATTGGCTGTCCGAGGAGAATTTTATGTGCCAAGTTAACGAGTGAAATCCTCATATGAAGCACTCAAAGTATACGAGACCAGAAAGACACACCCACAGGCCCAGTCGTCTCCTTCAGACTGCTCGATGATGTGGGCCTTATCCTGCGCCACGTCTGCTTATCCTATGCTCACTCTCAGAGCTTCTTTACCCATGGCTACTACTCGTTCATGCTCTCCAGTCTCAGTTCCTACCAATCACCATTATCATCAGAAAGACTCTCCTTTTGTTCCAGAGGTAAATCGCTTTAAGTTCATGCAATTTTCAAAATATCTAGAACGTTAATAAGATGGCTAGTTTTCTGTTTGGTTGCTGGGAAAGTACACAAATTTACTCGAAGTCGAAATCGAACTTCTAAGTATTTAGCTTTTAAATTCAACGCTGCTCATGTTCTCTCAAAACCCAGTTATTTTAATAGTCATTCTTCAATTTGCTTGCTTAGAAAATTTGGGAATTGCAGAGAAAGATTATTTCTTTTCTTTCAATCTATAATTATATCGGATAAAATAATGGGTCAAGCATATTGTGGCTTATTATAGGTGGGTTATCCCCCTTTTTATTTTTGTTGGTAAACGAAGCAGCTTAAGCCACAAGGCACATCATGTTTCCTTGAGTTTCAGAGCAACCAGACTGACCCATCTTCCATTTATTAATAGGGTTTGGGGCACATAATTCTTAAATTAACATATATATGATTTCAATTACTAAGTATATATTCGGGATTTGGATGGAGCTGGATATTTGCGTTAAGCTCTAAAAGTTTCATTATGATAATACCCCAAGTGGTTCAATTTCTGTGCAATGCAGGTTGCGGAAGCAGTGGACTCCTTGTATTCAGAGTTCAGAGCCGTAGATAATTTGGTGGCACACAATACAACCCGTGTTCTCAAAGCTTTCCAGAATGCTCGAGTTGGATCTCATGTAAGTTTTTTTTTTTTGGTTATTTGGATATAATGTTCGAGATGGTTATCGTATATATACTTGGATGCCAATATTTTTTTTGGTGATACTGTGACAGCCAGAGTTCTAATGTTTTTCATGTAATCCTGCAGAAGGAAGAATGTATATAGATTGCCCCACCACTAGTTATTAGAAGCAGATATCTATGCAATCTCATTCTATTGTATATCTATGCGTTTGTTCTTTGTTCAAAGGCTTTTTATTTGGTTATGTTAGTTGTTATAATACATGCATTGAAACAATTACTTTAGTAACTAATACATGCACTGGTTCTGTAGAAGCATGCCTTACTGTTTTCTTTTTATATGTCACTAATGCACTAATTCTGTAAGAAA